CCTCAGTTTCCTCATTTGTAAATTGGGGATAAGATAGTCTATTGTATATTGGATTTGTGAGGGTTAGAAATAATTGGATGTGCCCTTCATCCACTGCTTCCCTCTGGGGTTCTTACAAGGGGAACACACACAAGAATCAGCAAACAAATAGAAATAAATATTGATTTCATTACTTCAGACAAGCGGCACCCTCTAACCCCTAAGGCAAGGCATTTTGGTAAAAGTTGAATTGGAGAATATGGAATTGCCTGAGGATGACGTAAACCCAGCTCATAATGACACTATAAGACATAGTAGAACTGCCCCATAGGGTTCAGGGTTTCCTATTTCCCACTTTGGACCAGCATACTCAGTTGTCCTTGTGGGGAGAGATGGTGGAGCAGACCCCAAATCCACTTATCCAAATGGCCTGTGGATAAGTAGGAGGCTTGCCTCTAGAAGGCAGGCCTCGAGCCATGTCCGAAGGTGCTTACTCTGTGAGGGCAAACAGAGCAGGACAACCTGCAGTACCTTGTCTGACCCTCATCATCACCCACAGCCCCCAAGCAGAGCCCTCATTTGATTTTCTGACCAGAAATTATTCACTGTAGAGTGGGTGTGTTTCAAAAGATACCTATGATGCCACAAACAGAAAATAAAGATATCATCATCTGGGACTTGGGTAACTATTTTGTTTTAAATAGAAAATGTCTGGTTAAGTTTGTCAAACCTCTGGCCAGGACCATTGCTTAAATAATTTGGCATCAAAAACTAAAGCTCCAAAGTACATCTATTAACTTAATTTCTTTCCTCCTACCATGGTTCTGCAAGAAATTTTGAATCCTCTTGTCTCCATCTTTCCCTGGACCTGTTTTTTCTCACTTTAGTTTCAAGCTAATTACTTGGGTCACAGATCATGGTGTATCCTTCCCTTCTGAAGCTATCTCTCTTTTCCACTAATGTTTTTGTCTCCCTCCCTCTTCCTCCAGTTTGGCACTACCTGTTTTCTCTTACTGTCCGCCTTGTCTTCTTCTTTTTCACCTTTAAAATGAGAACATCTCTATTCCTTGATAAAACCATCTATCCTACCTGAACTGTGCCTGATCCTTAATAGAACTTTTCAACTTTTGCCTATAATAAAATATCTGACACCTTGGTGAGGGTACTTATCACATGTTATAAATATTTATATTTAATCCCCACAGTAATAGATACCAATATTACCATTCTCATTTTATAATTGGGGAAACTAAAGGGTAGAGAGATTGAGTAAGGTGCCCAATGTTACCAGGCTATTATATGATAGAGCCAGGATTGACAGTTTCCAGTTCCCGTGCTCTTAACCATTAGTCAAAACTGCCCTTCTCACAGCCTCACTGCCATTTTCTTAGGTCATCTTCAAAGGCTATCTATACATTTACCATCAGTCAATTTTTTCTTTGCTTTGAGATCTTTCTCCTTCAAAGGATTTCTGACCCCCCTTCATTGCCACCCCACCTGGCTCTTCACTCTCTTTGCTGGGTCATCACTCTCCTCCCAACAGCAGGGCTTCTCTTTGGCAGCCAGGGCAAGAAAAGGCAGTCTCTGAAGGCAGATTCCTGAAGGAGGGTGGGGATGTGCTGGTCTAAACCAGGAGAAGTCAGAATTTTTTTAAATGATAGAACTATATTTAAAGATGATGTAAGTATTCATCCAGTGTTTTTAAATGATAGAACTATACTTAAAGATGATGTAAGTCATTCATCCAGTGTTTGCAACTGTGGCATAACCTCCCAGCTGAGTTCATCCAATGACACCCTTTCAGGGCTACTGAGAGTTTTGTGTTATTTCTAAGAGGAATATCACTTCCTGTACACCAGAAAGTTTGTGAAAGTATTTGAGAAGCTTTTTCAGATGTTTTGATGAGCCCCAGGAAGCAAAGAATCCAAAACATGGGAACACTGTACTGTAAACAGTCCGGTGGAAAGTCAAGGAGAAGGGCAGTGTCTTGAGACTGGGTAGTCAGAGTTAGCCCTGAAGTCTGCCCTCCTGTGGCGATTTGTACACACAGAGCCTGGCCCTGGGGACTCATGAATTGAAGAGCTCAGAAGTCAATTACCAACTTATTACTGGAAGCACTGGGCAAAGTCAGTGATCCTTCAGAAGCCCTGGGAGAGACGCTGTGCTCTTAGGTCAAGGAGAGAAAGAGTGACTGCCTCTTGCTTTGGGCTTACCCCAGCATTCTGGCTACACAGACACTCTCTGGGTCCTTAAGGGGGCTTTTCCTCTGCCCACTCTCCCTCAGCAGAAGAGATGCCCTTGGTTGTTTCTGCCTATGGTAAGAAAGAAGACACACAGGGTTGGGAAGCTGTGTGGGAGGATTTAGACTGGTGGTTCCAAGCTCTGCTCCAGCACTTACTAGCTGGTGACCTTGGCTAAACCACCTATTCTCTCCAAGCTAATTCCTCCTATATAAATGGAGTGTGAGGAGTGCATGAGGAAGTATGTGTAAGCTGTTCTGTAAAATGTAAATTGCTATTCAAACATGGGGTACCTTAGATGGAGCAAACAGTTACGTGCGTGACTACTAGCAGAAATGTTGGTGGTTGGAATGCTCCCAGAGGTGCCTAGGAAGACAGCCCTGGTGATCTACTTCCAAAAGTTCACAGCTATGGAGCAGTTCTACTTTGCACACATGGGGTCGCCGTGAGTTGAAATCAACTCGGCACCAACTAACAACAGCAACATTCAAATGTGAGTTATTATTTTAAATGCACTTTTACTATTATTTAATACACCCAAATATCATTATAGAAAAGTCAAGCTTCCAGTACAGGCAGTTCCTCACCCTCAATGGATCTCTGTGAGCAAATACAATGAGCTCTGTACACCAGTCAATCTGAGGGAAACAGTCCCTTTAATGACACCCTCTACTGGCGGTTTAATACAATCTCACGACTGCTGCTAGTGGCATTCTGGGACCACAATCCTGGCTGAGTTCCTATAGCACCATCTCCAGGAAGGCATATCCTGCCTGGAATCTAGGGATCTCAGCCGCTCTTTGGGGTGGCCACAGCCAGTCTGAGCAGACTGCTCGGTCCCATGTCCTCTTGGCCCAGTGCCCTCTGTGGTGTGAATAGTGGGTAGGGGATGAGATGAAGCCCCTTGTGCCTCACCATGGGTGCCTGCTTCTCCAGCTGAGGGATAGAACCACCCCCCCCCAGGACCCAGCAGGGCCCTAGTTCAGGCTTCTTTTCCCACCAGACTGGAATTTTGAGGTCACTTCCTGTCTTAGACATCTAGTGCTGCTCTAACAGAAATACCACAAGTGGATGGATTTAGCAAAGAGAATTTTATTCTCTCACAGTCCAGCAGGCTACAAGTCCAAATTCAGGGCATCAGCTCCAGGGGAATGCTTTCCCCGTCAACTCTTGAGGAAGGTCTGTGCCATCAGTCTTCCTTTGGTCTGGGAGCTTCTCTGCGCAGGAACCTCAGGTCCAAAGGACACGCTCTGCTCCCGGCACTGCTTTCTTGGTGGTGTGAGGTTCCCATGTGTCTCTGCTTGCTTCTCTCTTTTATATCTCAAAAGAGATTGGATTAAGACACTATCTAATCTTGTAAACCTCATCAGCATAACCTTATCACAGTGATAGAATTTACGTCATATAAGGAGATCACATATAACCTCATCATAGTGATAGAGTTTACAACACATAAGGAAATCACATCAGATTACACAATCATACAATACTGGGAATCATGACCTAGCCAAGTTGCTACACACATTTTTTGGGGGACACAATTCAGTCCATGACACTTCCCAACTGGTCTCCCTGCAGCCAGCTCTCTTCCCTCCACTCCTTCCTACATACTGTGGCCAGAAACCTTTTTCCCACTGCCTGCCTCATAAAGACCTAGCTTCTTTCCAGGGTTTCGTTTCACTAATGCCCTCTTTTCAATCCACAATCCTCATTTCTGAGATATCCATTCCTTAATCATTCTCCTCTTCCCAGCCTTCCTGCCTTTTATCTGGCTTTTCGCGTCACACATGCTTCCTCTCCCCACCTCCCCTTAAACAAAGTAAAAACCCAACTCATCTCATGATCTAACTCTTTCGACACCTCTTCAAGAAACATTCCTTCATTTCCCTCACTCTCGGTGCTGTCAAAGCATCGTTATTGAGCTTATACAGTGAACTCATCCTGCATTGTGTTATAGGTATCTTCATGTTTATCTCTTCACATTGTAAGCCTCTCGAGCAGAGAGGCCTTCCATCTCTGTCTCTCCCAGGCTGTAGCAAAGGACACTGTAGGTGCTCACAAGCTATTTCAAGAATTGCAATGAGTTAAATGGAAATGAGCTAGTGCGAGACAGTTAGGGACCCCATCGTTGGGATGTCAGAGTTGTCCTGGGGTGATGTTCCAACCAGAGGTGACAGCTGTCAGGCTGTGACACTGCAGCACAGGCTGGAAGTTACCTCTCCTTTCCCTGCTCAGCCAGCACCCAAATTCCCCGTAGCATATTCTTGTAGCAGCAGTATAACAGGACATTAATAAAATCAATTATTGGATGAAAATCACTGGTTTCTGAAGCTTCATTTTGTGCTATTAGCAGGAGAGTGCTGTTTCAAAAGGAGATAACAAAGAAAGAGCAAACAAGAGAGAGCTCAATTACTGGATAAGATCGCATGGTGCTTAAGATGAATGTACAGCTGGCAAGTGGCCCCTCTTACTTTTGGTCCCTGGGCCTGCCCTGGGCCTTCCTGGCTAGGTGTGGGAGGTGCATCCTCATAACTGGTGGCAAGGGTCAGTTCTCAGTTCCCTAGGCATATGGACAGCTTTAGGGACTTGTAGAGCAACTTGGGTAAGACACACGAGTGACCATCTTATCCTTGGTGTTGATGCCTATCCCAGGGCACCAGCCCTCACATTCCAGATAATCATTTCAACAAGATCCTCCAAAAGATGCAGCTTTCTTATCATTTTGGTGAGCCTGAAAGGTCTGAGCTTTGTTAGATACAGACTGGCTCTCTTTGAGGGGTGATGGCACTAGCATCCGTTGGGAAGTTGCCCCCAAAAGTGAGCATTCATCTTGCTGAGGCAGTGAGGTCCAAATGTCCTGCTGGCTGTGTGGGCAGGCAACTGGGGCATCCACTCCCTCACTCTGCTGAGAGCCACTGGAGGGGCCAGGGGACTGAGTTCTTTCCTGTGGGACCTTAGAACAGCCACATAACCTCTCTGAAATCCCATCTTCCCTACTCATCTCACATTTTGGTGAGGATGAAACAAGATCATGAATATGGAAATTGCCTTATTATTCTAAAATGCTATATCCATGTCTGGTGAGGATTATTACTCACTCCCTCATTGATGCTTCTTAAAAATAATCAGATTCATGGGTTGGAGAATGAAAGGAACAAACAGGGTCTGGTGAATTACAAAAAAAAAAAGTTGTTGAGTCACTTCCAACTCGTGGTGACCCCATGTGTGTCAGAGTAGAACTGCACTGTAAAGTTTTCAATGGCTGTGATCTTTCAGAAGTAGATCACTAGGCCAAGGTGCCTCTGGGTGGACTCAAACCTCCAACCTTTCAGTTAGCAGCCGAGAGCATTAACCGTTGCACAACCCAGGGACTCTATCTGGTGAATAGTAACCATTAATAAGATGGATTCTGTACTTTCCATCACTGCCTTCCCTGTGGTAAAGGAATGAATGACAGTCATTGAGTACCTACTGTGTGCCAGCTACCTTGCCAATCCTTTAGGCCAGTGAGTTCCAGACAGACATCGGTTCTCAAATTGCCCTGGAGAGCATGCCCTCTGGGGTCGGGATATTAGAATTCAAGTTCCAGCCTGCCACTCCCTAATTGTGTGACTAAGGGCAAGTTACTGACCCTATCGAGGCTGTTTCCTCATCTATATAACAGGAATACAAGGAATATATCCACCTCATGGAATTGCTATGAGAATTATGTGAGATAATGTGAGTAAAGGTCCTAGAACAACACCTGGTACATGGCACTCAGTAAATGGTAGCTGCCAGTGTGGTCATTGTTCTGTTTGTTATTATTATCTCTGATGGTTTTATTAATGTCCTTTCTGCCCTGTCTTTGAGCCTAACCATGCCTGCATAAGCTGATCTCAGTGGGGAGCTCCCCTGGGTCAGGTCCTGCTGGACGGGCAGAGGGGTCAGCAGAGCCATTCTCACAGACTTCCGTTCCTGTCACACAGCCTTCAGAAGCTGACTGGGATGACCTGTGGGACCAGTTTGATGAGCGGCGGTATTTGAATGCCAAAAAGTGGCGTGTTGGTGATGATCCCTATAAGCTGTATGCTTTCAACCAGCGGGAGAGTGAGCGGATCTCCAGCAATCGGGCCATCCCAGACACTCGCCATTTGAGGTACTTCTCTTCCTCCCACTCTGTTACCCCAACCCCTTTCTGTATTGAGGGATACCATGCCCAGTGCCAAGAATTGGGATAGGCAAGCCACTTGCTGCCAGTTGAACATAAAGGCATTATGACCCCATAATTGACCCCGTCTGTGCTGCTCATTGCTGTGAGTCATCCCTGAGTCCCCTACTTTCCAGTGGGAGGTTGGAGAGGGTGAGAGGCCACCTTCACTTGCAGCTTGCCCCACTCACCCAGTGGCTACTCTAGGCGACACTTGCCATGAAATCATGGAGCACTAAAGATGGGGTAGTCAGGGCCTGTTTTTCCCTGGCTGATCCCCATGGCCTCACCTGACTTTCAAACTGGGGGAGCGCAGGGTGGGCAGACACCTGGCAAGTCAACTTGGTAGTCTTTTCTGTTGCTGAGGGAGACCCTTCCTGTGACAGCCATGCACATTTTGCCATGTGAGAGGAGGAGCCGGGGGGCCTCTGCACTTGCCATTGGTTTACTGTCTGCTCTTGGAGTTTCTCATTCACACAGCCCTGATCTAGCACCCCTTTGCTCAGGCTGTACCTGCACTTGGGTTGTCAAGACCAAGCATGGTGCTCTGTGGAAGGCTTTATTTCCCAGCAAAATGAGGCCCATTACCACTCCTTCCTAGAGTCATACCAGCCCATATGCTTCCCAATGAGGCCAGTGGCTGCCTGAAGAAGGAGGCAGTGTCAATCCCAGATTCTCCCTCCTGGGCTCCAAGCTGGGAGATCCAGTATGCCAGCGGCCCTTGTGGAGGTGTTTCCTGTCTGCTGCAGGACATTCACTTTGCACTGGCCCCAAATAGCAGACTGGTATGGTTTGGGTAGAAGGTTTTGAAAACAAAAAACCAAACCCTTCTCGGTCGAGTCAATTCCAACTCATAGTAGAACTGCTGCATAGGGGTTTCCAAGGCTGTAATCTTTATAGAAGCAGGCTACCACATCTTTCTCCCTTGGAGTGGCTAGTGAGCTTGAACTGCTGACCTTTTGGTTAGCAGCCGAGCACTTAACCACTGTGCCACCAGAGCTTCTTGGAGAGGTTTGAAGCCAAGTTATATTGAAATCTGCAGGACTGATGTTGGCTTCTTAGCTTTTTATATTTGTTTGGGTAAGTGGGTACCCACATTGTGGTCACTGGGGTTTATGAGCAGGGGAGTGAGAATTGCCATGACCTCAGAGGCTGATTGGAAACCCTGGTGGTGTAGTGGTTAAGTGGTATGGCTGCTAACCAAAAAGGTGGGCAATTTGAATCCACTAGGCAGGCTCTCCTTGGAAACTCTATGGGGCAGTTCCACTCTGTCCTGTAGGGTCACTATGCGTCGGAATCGACTCGACAGCAACGGGTTTGTTTTTTTTTTTTGTATTTTTTTTTGTGCAGAGGCTGATTAATCTGGTAGTACTTACTTTGGTAATCTTTGAAGGTTGGTGGGATCAGTTCCCCCTATTAGGTTGGACCACCCAGAAACCTTGTCTTGTACAGCATGTATCCTGTGGAGGGACTCAGCCAATCCTTGTTAGTCACCATCATTCCTAAAAGGAGCTGGAGTCTTGATTTCCCCGTGAATAAAGCAAGGGGGATGGACTGGGTTATTTCTGGATTTTTTCCAACTTTGACAGTCTGTGAATTTAACTCTCCTCTCAAAGTACCCTTGAGACTTCCGTAGCAACAGTGCCTGGCAGCTCTAAACAGCCAGAAACCCAGGGGATGGCTATACCTAAAACACTCCTTTCTGCTGGCCTGGAAGCTTCTTAAAGTCAGAGTCTTGTATTATTCCAATATAAATTGCCCAACATTTATCCTGGCCCATGGCATCTGATAGAATTTTAGGTAATTAGGTTATTTTATGTCCTGGAGCAGAGACTACATATAAGAGATTGGGGAAGAGGAGGAGACAGAAGTCGGAGAAGCCCTACTGGGTCTCAGGTGGGTGGTCCCTCCCTTGTCCTGAGCCTAGATGCTGAGGCCCTCCAGAGGGACAATGGGACACCTCCATGCTGGGAAAGGAGCTAGTGTGCCTGGGTGAGAGCCACCAGAGAGAGTCCTGTGAAGCTCCTCACTGAGCAGGCAGGCACTCGGGATACCCTGAGCAGAACCAGTTTTTGCACTCACCCAATTCTATGACCTAAGATGCAGAAACAAAAGAATTTTACAAAATCTGGACATACGTGGTGGTAGCTGATGAAGCACCGAGCCTGCCCCAATATCCAAGTTTACCGGGCTCAGTTTTGAGCTCCATACCTAACCCAGTGTGCTCTGTTACATGAATGTGATCTGTTGGGATTGCAGCAAGGAGGGAAGAGAGGACTTAGTCTGTCTTCCAGACACACTATGGGGTGACAAAAAATAAGAGTGTATCAGCCATGTGTCTGCCTTAGGGCACCAGTCCCTGTCCTGTGGGAGCTGTGTTACTAAGACAGTTTTAGATTTACGGAACCTTATCTGACTGATCAGAAAGGAGAAAGGACAGGGGATTGAGAACAAAGACAAGCACATGGAAACATCACTGGTGTATGGAGCACCTACTACGTGCGAAGCCCCAAGGTAGCACTGTGAGAAGCCACCAATGGGGTCAGCCATCTCCAGGCTGAGTGTGGTCTAGTGCTGGCCCTGGGCCCAGGTCACTCTTATGGTGACCAGAATTCTGAGAGACTGCCAGCAGAGCCCTGTGTTCTCCCCTCCAGGAGGCCCAGTGGGTGGTGACCTTTATCTACAGGAGCTCCTGCTTCCAGCCCTTCTGTCTAAGGGAAACTGTGTCCATGAGGTTGAATCCATGCCCATGAGGTGGAAGTCACCAGCTGGGTGCCTTAATCCTTCCAGCCTGTCTGCTGTATCCTAACTTCATCCTGATGTGATAGTGCCTGGGGCTTGTCTGCCTCAGCTCTGGTCAGCTGTGGCTGCCAGTAACTTATATCTTATAGACCAGGTTTATCAGTCTTGGCACTTTGACAATTTGGACTGGATAATTCTTTGTTGGGGAGAAGGAGAGGGCTGTCTTATGTGCATTGAAGGATGTTTAATAGCACCCTTGCCCTCTACCCACTAGATTCCATTAGGACCCCACCCCCACCCCCCGCCAAGTTGTAAGAACCAAAAATGTCTCCAAACATTGCTAAATGTCCCCTGGGGGGCAAAATCACAATGAGAACCACTGCTGTAGAGTCAGCCCTGCTTTATACCCAAGCCCTTAAAAATGAAACCTAAACATGCCCAGGAACAGGATAAGGCCAAATCTTCTCCATAAAACAGACTCTCAGGGGAGGCAGTACAGCTGAGGGATTAAGGACACAGGCTCTGGGGTCAGATTTCCCTCTTTCCAGTCCTGGCTGTGCTGCTTACTAGCCGAGTGGCCTTGGGCAGTTGCCTAGCTTCTCTGTAACTCAATTTCTTCTTTTATAAAAAAGGAGTGACAATAATAATACCTACTTAATTAGATTTTTGTAGGAATCTAATAAAATATGTGTAAATTACTTACATAGCAAATAGTGAAAAAAAAATCGGTCACTATTATTAGAGGGTATGTGGGCAGACTGATACTTCAGGGCCTGAAATAGAAGAGGGAGGTTTCTCCTGAGATAACTGAAGATGCTCAGGCAAGAGATGCAAGCAAAGCTGAAAACTGAGGAAGCACCAATATCCCAAGTACCAGGAAGAGGCATTAGGAAGGTCACTATTTTGTCAAGAGTGGCAGTGGGGGCAGGGAAGAACAGAGGTGGGTTTCAAGGTTAGGTTCAATGCCAGAGAAATGGAAGTGAGTGAAATCAAACCCCACTGGGAGTGGAATGTTGATCGTGAACATTGGCCTCAGTGGTTCTCAATCCAGGCTTCCTATAAGAATCACTTTTTAAAAATGCCAATACCCAGACTCCACCCAGCTTAAGTCTCTTTTCCAAGCTCCCCAAGTGATTCTAATGAGCAACCAAAGTAGAAAATCCCTGCTCTAGATAAGTACTTCTCAAATATCATACTTTGTAGCAAGGACTTAGAGCAATGGTTCCAAAGTGTGGTTTCCCAGACAAGCAGAACAGCAGCAGCAGCAACACTTGGAAGCTTGTTAAAAATGCAGATTCATACCCTGGAACTACTAAATCAGACCTTCCGTGTTTTAAGCAGCCTTCAAGGTAATTCTGATACATACTCAAGTTTGAGAGCCACAGAGCCTCAGCTTGCATTTGTGGCTTGCTTTTGTATACCAGACCGTGGGGGGTTGCTCCAGCTGAAAGGCCCAGGGTTTGAGTAGAGAATGTTGTTGTTAGATGCCCATTGAGTTCGTTCTGACTCATAGCGACCTTATGTAAAACAGAACGCAAGCAACACCGCCCAGTCCTGCACCATCCTCATAATCATTGCTATGCTTGAGCCCATCGTGGCAGCCACTGTGTCAGCCATCTCGTTGAGGATCTTCCTGACCCTCTTTTTTGAGATGTCCTTCTCCAGGGACTGGTCCCTCCTGATAACATGTCCAAAGTATGTGAGACAAAGTCTCGCCATCCTTGCTTCTAAGGAGCATTCTGGCTGTACTTCTTCCAAGACAGATTTGTTTGTTCTGGGAGTCCATGGTATATTCAGTATTCTTCACTAACACCATAATTCAAATGCATCGATTCTTCTTCGGTCTTCCTTATTCATTGTCCAGCTTTCACATGCATATGAGGCGATTGAAAATACCATGGCTTGGTTCAGTGGCACCTTAGTCCCCAAAGAGATATCTTTACTTTTAATACTTTAAAGAGGTCTTTTGCAACAGATTTGCCCAATTCAATACATCATTTGATTTCTTGATTGCTGCTTCCATGGGCATTGATTGTGGATCCAAGTAAAATGAAATCCTTGACAACTTCAGTCTTTTCTTCACTTATCATGAGGTTACTTATTGGTCCAGTCATGAGGATTTTTGTTTTCTTTAAAACAAAAGGTTTAATCCCTACTGAAGTCTTTGATCTTCATCAGTAAGTGCTTCAAATCCTCTTCACTTTCCG